CTTCGGGGGTTGACTTTTCCATAACAAATGATAAAGTATTGCTGTTTTATTTGTACTAAAGAACCGATCCTGAAGCCCACAGTTGTCTGGCCAAAATTTGGGTCCAATGACGGTTAGTTCTGTCAACTCTTAATAATGTATGTCAACAACAAAATCACTTCTCACAAGAAGAAACAGACTATGCTCTCTGTTGGCAGCAGGGGCCAGTTCTCTACCCATTAAGAGAAGGAGGGAAAGAATCAGAGAGTAGAATAAAGTCAGGAGCAGTCTCGCCTAAAAAGGGTGGAGCTTTTACCCGAGAGCAATCCACATGTAAATGGAACCCTTTAGGCACCTTCCCTTGTTTCCGTTTCCGGCTTCGGCTCCTGCTCCCACCATCCCCAGGGCACCGCCTCTTCCGCCTCAGAACCCCACCCAGAATTCCCTACTCCCCCATATAAGGGAGGGTCTTGGGAGCTAGCATCTCAAATGCCTGATCATTGCCAGCCCCAGTCTTCTTTGAAGAAAGGGCTCTGTCTGGAGACAGAGCAATGCAAAGGAGATATTCAAAGTTTTCCTTTCCCCTCTTTTTCCAAGGAATCAGCTTCAGCTTCAAAGGTTTTTTTTCTTCTTCTCTAAAGGAGATGCCTCAAGAAGGAGGCGTGGTTAGTTTTGTGAAGCTTCAAGGAGGAGGCCCGGTTGGTTTTATGAATGCTCCCTTAACTACTTCTAAGGTCCAGAGTCTTAAGAGAGAACTTAAGCCATTGTTAGATGACCCTGATGGGGTAGCAGAACAGATTGATCAATTTTTAGGTTCCCTGTTATATACTTAGACCAAGTTAATGTCCATTCTAAGTATTCTCTTTTCAACGGAAGAAACAGCAGATGTGGAAAGCCAGAGAGAAAGAGAGTCAAAGAGAGAGAGACAGAGACAAGGAGGCAAAGGAGAGAAATTAGGAAGAAGAGAAAGAAATATTAAGAAAGTTACAGATAAAGGATGCACTTTTAGTAAGGAAAGTTATAAAACAAAGTTAGAAAGTTAAGATTGTGATAGTTGTTAAAAATGTTATAAAAGGAATTTATGCAAGAAATGTATAATTTTTTTGAAACTTTAAGCAAATTTTGAAATGTTAATTGTAAAGGAAATTCGGTGTGTAAACATATTAGATAAAGTTAAAGCAGTGTCATCCAGTTTTTCTGTAAACTGGACATTAAAATAAAAGCACAACAAGTTTTTCTTAAAGCACTGACCTGCTCTTTAACAAAGATTATAGAAGATCTCTTAGCACAGGCACCACTTCTAGAATTTCCGGTACACCAGCACCAGCCTGGAGACCCCCCTACCTCGTGTTGCTAGCCACGAAGACTGCCATTGGTACAGCAGGAAAGAGATGGACACATCACACACGAGTCAAGAAAGCACCATCACCATTAGAATCATGGGCTATTGTTCCGGGATCAGACCCTACCAAGTTAAAGCTAAGAAAAGCTTAGCCTATCTATCTTTTCTTTTTTTCTTTTCTTGCCTTTAACTACTCCCCATCTTGTTATTAGTGTGATTAGATCTGGCTCACCTCAAGTAGTTGCTTTGATGCTCGTTTAATTATGCCTTGTGGAGATTTGAATAACCAAGAACAGCTTGCTGCCTCAAAAGGATGTCTCTGTCCCTCTTAGACTTCCTCAGATGAGGAAGACATAACAAGTTCCTCTTGGCTGGGCGCGGTGGCTCAAGCCTGTAATCCCAGCACTTTGGGAGGCCGAGGCGGGTGGATCACGAGGTCAAGAGATCGAGACCATCTTGGTCAACATGGTGAAACCCCGTCTCTACTAAAAATACAAAACATTAGCTGGTCATGGTGGTGCGTGCCTGTAATCCCAGCTACTCGGGAGGCTGAGGCAGGAGAATTGCCTGAACCCAGGAGGCGGAGGTTGCGGTGAGCCGAGATTGCGCCATTGCACTCCAGCCTGGGTAACAAGAGCGAAACTCCGTCTCAAAAAAAAAAAAAAAAAAAAAACAAGTTCCTCTAAGGATACTACTAATCCAAGGAATAGTAGCTGTATTAATTGGTAGGAATCAGACTTGTCCCTCAAATACAGAATCTCTATGTTCTGCTTAGTCTAATGTCATATGGAACACTAAAGGGTTAAGATAGACTGCTTCCACAGGTCTTTGTCAGTCCTTAAAACTATATAACCACTTCACCAAAGGAATTACTCCTTTTAGCTGTCAATATAACCTATGTAATCCTATATGGCTTACTATTTACTGCAACATCTGAAAACTCTTCTGCTTCATTAAGTCACATTTATGGTATAGGAGCCGACATTTCAGGAAAGGATCCTAAAGAAATTTTTGAAATGCACCTATTGCTCCATCAACCTCTTTATCAATCACTCCTTCTAGACACAATGACAAAACCAAAGTCTCAATGGTAGAAGTAGAGGACCTAAGGCAAACCATAGGCAATGAAACAGGATATAAGGATGCAAACGCCTGGTTAGAATGGATTCAATATTCCGTTCTCACCTTAAATGAAAGCGACTGTTAGGCTTGTGCTCACAGTAGGCCAGAGGCCCAGGTTGTCCCCTTTCCGCTTGGATGGTCCTCAAATCAAGTGGACATGGAATGCCTAGTAGCTCTTTCTCAGAATTCCAATGCCTAGAATAACAAATCGTGCCAAGTTCTTCCTCTGCTATTTCCTGAGATTCATCACCCTGCAGGATCAGCCCCAGAGGGCCATTCAACCTCCATCTTCTGCGGTTGGGTTCGCCTCGTGCCTCTCATGACAGGAGGAGAACTCAATATTCCTTGTAAATGTCACAGGATGCAGTGAAGTAAGGCACTTTTCAGTCTTCCATCAGCCACCCCCGAACAAATGTCTGGTGGTATTATGGAGTACCCTTACTGGACACTCTGCCAAATAACTGGAGTGGTACTTGTGCTCTAGTTCAATTGGCTATGCCTTTTACCCTGGTATTTCATCAACAAAAGATAGAGGAAACCCACAAATGACATAGAAGAGGAGCCCCATATGGGTCCTTTGATTCTCACATGTACTTAGATGCAATTGGGGTCCCAAGAAGCGTTCCAAATGAATTTAAAGCCAGGTATCAGCTGGTGGATTTGAATCAACACTATTCTGGTGGGTGACAATAAATAAAAATGTAGACTGGAAAAATTATATTTATTATAATCAGCAATGATTTGTTAACTCTACCAAGTATGCTGTTAAGGGAACTGCAGAACAATTAAGGTCTACCAGCCAAATGGCATAGGAAAACAGGATTGCTCTTGACATGATGTTAGCTGAAGAGGGTGGTGTTTATGTAATGATTAAGACCCAATGCTGTACTTTCATTCCAAATAACACAGCTCCAGAAGGAAGTATCACGAGAGCCTTACAGGGACTTATGACCCTATCTAATGAACTATTCAAAAATTCAGGAATAAATAACCCTATTTCAAACTGGCTAGAGAGCTGGTTCGGCAAATGAAAGGACACTTAGGCATCAGTCCTCACTTCCCTGGTCATGGGATTAGGTATACTTCTTCTTGTAGGACGTTGTGTTATATTCTGTGTTCGAGGACTCATGCAAAGTCTCATTAATACTACCCTCGCTAATCTAACTCCAACTCTTCCTCTACCCTATCCAGAGAAATTATTTCTGTGGAAAGACCAAGCTGAACAACGAAGCAAGGACCTATTAGATAAGTTTAAGAAAAATTATGAAAGAAAAAAAAAAGGAAATTGTGAGAGATGGGAAAGTTCTTCAAAGTTTAAATCTTAGACTACATTATAAGGAGTTACAATCTCTGGCTCTGTGGCTATTATCTGCTATTAGCATAAACATATACCCATGTATATATATTCTCTAAATCAGCTGCATCTTAAATCAGCTACCTTGACTCACTCTGGCATGTCTGAACAGAGCTGGGCAAGCTCCAAACAAACCCTAGTGCATGCCATTCCTTATTTGAAAACCCCCCTGACCGTCTCCTGACTAGCTTCCTCTTTTCCCTTGTCTTCTTCCTTGTGTTCTTTCCCCCCAACTATTCAGGAAATTTCCAAGTTTTTAGTCAATTGGGTCAAGTAGAATGTGAGGTCCCGTTCAGGCCAGTGGAGACTGGACACAGCAGTAGGGCGATTGCGTCAGGTTATGAGAGTTATTAATGTCTCTGTCTCCTTTGTTCAGGCGTGCTCTCGTGGCAAGACTGCCGGCGAGTTGCACCTGCAGGAAGTATGAACTAGCCTTGCTGAGTGATCCATTGTCTTGGTGTGGACTTTTCCCAACATTATAAACCAGTTTCCAACAAAAAAATATATTGTTTAAAAGAATGCAATGGTCATTTTCATCAGGCTATGCAACTGAAATCCAACTGACAAGCAAACAAGAACACAAAAAAGAGTAGGAGGTGGGTAGAGAATTCTTCGCTCACAGAATGGAGAAATTATTGAACAAAAAAGTAGGAAAAGTAAGGAAATGTGCAAGTTTCAGGAAGAACTGGAACCAGGAACTCTAAAACACTAGTTCTCAAACGCTCATGGATCCTGGCGCACACGTGCATGCGCACACACACACACACACACGCACCCCACACACACACCTTGGGGAAAAACTATGAATGTGGCCAAAGTGGAGAGGTTTTATAAAAACACAGCAGTTCCTTCTACAGTAGCAATTTTCAATAATGACTGCACATTTTATTATCTGAGGAGCTGTCAAAAATATCAGAATGGGAAACGTGATAGTAAAATGGGCAAGACATGAACAACTTTTTTTTTTTGAGACCAAGTGTCACTCTGTCACCCAGACTGGGGTGCAGTGGCATGATCTCAGGATCACTGCAACGTCCACCTCGCTGCAACGTCCGCCTCCCACGTTCAAGCGATTCTCCTGCTCAGCCTCCTGAGTACCTGGGATTACAGGTGTATGCCACCATGCCTGGCTAATTTCTTGTATTTTAGTAGAGACAGGATTTTGCATGTTTCCCAGACTGACCTGGAACTCTTGGCCTCACCAAGTGCTGGGATTACAGGCGTGAGCCACTGCACCTGGCCTGATGCGAACAATTTTTAAACACACAAATACCATGCGTCCCTTAAAATATATTGTGTTACCCAGGATAAGAGAATGTAAAAAATACACCAACATTCTATTTCTCATTTTCCATTGCCAAAAATTGAAATATGAACAACATCCTCTGTTGGTGTTGCTCTGGGGAAACAGGCACTCTCGTACATTGCAGGTGGGAAGGCACATTGTAAACCTTGAGGACAGAACTGGTTACACTGCATATACACTTAACTTTCAAGCCAACAATTCGCATTTCTAAGGGTTCCTCCTGAAGATACACAAGAATACATCTGCAGATTATTCATTGCAGTATTTTTAGTCATATATATTAGAATGTATATAGTCATACGTAGGAGAGTAGATGAATAGTGTACAGACAATGGAGTACTACGTTTCTGCAAATAAGAACAAGTACAATCTCTATGAATCAATGGGGAGCAGTTTCCAGGATACACTGTTAAGTGAAATAAGCATAGTGCAAAAGAGTGTCTGAATATGTTACCCTTTGCATAAGAAAGGAGAGGAAATAAAATATACTTGTATCTATTTCTTTGTGCAAAAAGAAATAAAGGAAAGATAACCCAGAGACGAATGTGTTTGGTTACCTACAGGAAACTGATTGTAAGGACAGAAGGAGCTGGGGGAAAGGGTGGAGGTCATTTTTCCAAGTATAATTTTATAAGCCATTCCAACTTTTGAAACTATGTTAATGTAATGTGCAATGAAGAGGAAAGAGAAGAACAGAGGGGAAGGTAAGAGAGAAGAGGGAAAGAAAAAAAGAAAATGAAAAGAAAGGGAAGGAAAGAAAAGGTGGGAGGGGGAAAGAATAGAAAGAAAAGGTAAAAACAGAGAAAGAGAAAAAGAAAAGAGGAGAGGAAGGGGGAGGCAGGAGAGAGGAGGAAGCAAGAAATAACGGGGACATGGGGACCTCAAATGGAATACAAACAGAAACAAATGAACCAAATGACATTTCAAATTAATAACATAATTGCACAGAAGGCAGGGATGGGTGCAGGAAGAAGTGAAGTTTTGAATATAGTATTTAAACTATGTGCCCTACATCTAAAGGTAAAATAAACTCCGAACATATATTGAATTATATCTAGAAAGCTAGCAATGCTTAAACTATTTTCTGTGTTTTCTAGGATGGAACAAATAAGTACATATGTTGGGAATGATGGTAACCTGCCTTCTCATTGTATGTAGAAAAAAAATTTATATATGGAAAAGGGGAATAGAAAGCCCCCTCTGATACTGGATTGGAATTAGAGATATTGGTATGAACTCATGGATTTAAGGTATGTATATATGTATAAAGGGTCATAGAAATAGATGTATTTACACATGTATACTTTTATTTCCTAGCTCTATCTGCTGTGAGAACTTATAAGCAATGACACTCTGGTAATAATAAGTACATCAACTGCCCAAATCTTTGTTGCTAGTGGAATTCCATTTTCCACTAAAGAAATTGGGCTCTATGGAGAAATTGCCAATTTCATGACCGGAGTAAGGAAAGCACTAAATGAGCTAAGGTAAGCCCAGGAAATTCTTTTGTACACAAAAGTAAATTACACTTAAAAAATGATGATGAACTTGTCAACCAGGCAAGGAGCCAACTTGAAGGGGCTCCCACTGGCCAAATCCGGGTCAATTTGAGCACCAAAATAAATGATAGTAAAGGATTGTTATCAATGGAATAAAATGTAATTGAAACCATGAGTCTGCACTGAAATAAATTGATACAGGAAATCAGTTTATTAAAATAGGAAGCCAACGAATATATACAGAACATGATGGAAGTAGAAAAATCACCATTAGATAATTATCATCATAAATGATTCAGGCAAGGCCATCAATTGGAACTAAAACTTCCTGGGTAAAGTTTGAGGAAAAACAGGTTACAAAGTCTCAAAGACGTTCCACTACAAGGTATTTATTATTTACAAAGGGGGAAATTAATTTATAATAGAGAAACTGCAGATATCCCCTCAATCACGCAATCAAAGTAATCACCAGTAATGGGAAAAATTGGTATTAAGTGTCCCATGGTATGATGCCCTGAGAAAAATACATGATTCTGATGTATTCCTGCTCACAGTCTTGACTCTACTCATGAAGAAAGATTATTCAAACCCCAACTGAGAAATACTCTACAAAGTAACTGGCATATACACTTCAAAAATGTTAATGTCTTTAAACACAAAGACTGAGGACCTGTTCCACATTAAAGGAGACTAAAGGGGTATGACAACTGAGTGCAACATATAAACTTTCCTTTGGCTATGAGGGAGAGTATTTAACAGACGGTAAAATCAGAATTAGGCCTGTAAAGTGCTTGAGTGTATTAATGCTAATTTCCTGATTTTAATTATTATACTATGGTTACATAAAAAAAAGTTCTTGGTTTTAGGAAACAAAGATTTTCGGAAACACATACTGAAATATTTGGGGCTAAAGGAGTATCATGTTAGCTTATTCTCAAATGGTTTAGAAAAAAATTAGGTAGAAAGAATAGGCCAATTGTGGTGGCTTATGCCTATAATCCCAGCACATTGGGAGATGAAGGTTGGAGTTGCTTGAGGACAGGAGTTCGAGAACAGCCTGAGAAACATACTGAGATCCCATCTCTATACAAAATTTTAATAAATAATAAAGTAAATGTAGCAAAATGCTAACATTTAATGAATCTAGGTGAAGGGTAGTCTTGGAAATAATTGTATTCTTGGCTGGGCGCAGTGGCTCACACCTGTAATCCCAGCACTTTGGGAGGCGGAGGCGGGTGGACCACCTGAGGTCAGGAGTTCGAGACCAGCCTGGCCAACATGGCGAAACCCCATCTCTACTAAAAATACAAAAATTATCTGGGATTACAGGTGGTGGCACATGCCTGTAATCCCAGCTACTCGGGTGGCTATGTCAGGAGAATCACTTGAACCCAGGAGGTGGTGGTTGCAGTGAGCCAAGACAGCGCCATTGCGCTCCAGCCTGGGTGACAAGAGCAAAACTCAGTCGCAAAAACAAACAAAAAATTGTATTCTTGTATTAGTTTTATAATTTTTATGTAACTTTGAAGTTATGTCAAGATGTAAAGTTAAAAAATACATTTACCTGGAATTTACACATAGATAATTCTAATGATTGGTCTAAAGTAAAACCTGTCCATTTACAATTCTAACCTACACCAAAGGTTAGACTTAGACTTCAGTGGTTAGAGAGAAGCAATAGTTCCTAGAGGGGAGGAGTTCAGACAGATAATATGAGGGATATATATTGCATTGGAGAAATAATAGACATTCCTCTGTGTAATAAAGCATACAGTTAGCAATGAAAATTGCCATCTTTTAGTAGCAAATAACTTTACATTGAATTGTATAAGGCAAAAACTCTTAGAAATACAAGGGGGAAATGAGCATATCTACAAATTCATTAGGACAAAAGCATTAAACCAGGCATGGTGGCTCATGCTTGTAATCCTAGCTACTTGGGAGGCCAAGGCAGGAGGATTACTGGAGCACAGGAGTTCGAAACCCGACTGGGCAACACAGTGAGACCCCATTTCTACAAACAAATTTAAAAATTAGGTGGGTGTGATGTTGCATGTCTGTATTCCCAGCTACTTAGGTGCTGAGACAGGAGGACCACTTTGAGCCAGGCTGGGCAATGTAGAAAGATTGCATTATTTAAGAAAACAAAACAAAACAAAAAACAACCCAAAAAGCAAACACTTCATTTGGGGACACACTTTTGTTCTGCTCTTTTACTAGTGTAAATCAGCACTTACGAGGTGCCTGGTAAATAATAATAATTTAACAAAACGTAACAGTGAGATATTTGGACGTATTTCACAGATTTACAGATAATCATCATGAGGGTGAAACCATGTCCTATTTTGTTCTCCACTGTTTATTCAACACATAATAGATGCCCAATTAATATTTATTGATTGGCTGAATCTGCTCTTTGATACTTGTGGGAGATTGAGTAATAAAAACATCTTTTAATGGATCAGAATTCTAGTGTTATAAAAAAGGAACATGCATATTCCCTCCACCTTCTTTTTAATTTGTAACAACTTGACAACTTTTTAATTTGTAACCACATTTGGATAAGGTAAATATGGGCTCTTCTGCTATACAAAACAAAAAGAAGTATTCATGTTATTGCAGTTGACATAGGCTGATGGTCATGAATTGTGAGACCTTAAATAAGCAACCAGTCTGGCAATGTAATTAAATGATCCATCATTGTCCCCCTACCCCCTGCAAAACATATTCCACAGAGAACCTATCTAAGACCAGCATTACACTTTTGACAGATTATTTAGTGGATTAATAGTTAACAGTGCCATGTAACAAAATGATTCATTCAATTATTTAGGGATATATTTTGTATTTATGTTAAGGGTATAACTTGAAGTTAAATTAACCAATTGTTAACAATGAAGGCTTCAGAGAGAATTTCTTATGGCCGAGGTGGTCAATTGTTATAAATTGCTTTGCAATTTTCACAGCCCACATTACCACAGATACTTTTTGTGGCACTTTTTCAAACTTCAGATTGTTACTGACTAGATAAAGAGGATTGAGACCAGCATTTAAAAAAAAAAATGCAGTTGGGTGGCACACATGCATAATCCTAGCTACTATAGAGGCTGAGGTGGGAAGATGGCTTGAGCCCAGAATTTGAGGCTGTAGTGTACCATGATGGCACCTGTGAATAGTCACTGCATTCCAGCCTAGGATACATAGTGAGATTCTGTCTCTAAATTTTTTTTAAGTTTTTAAATGAAGTAGGCTAGCATAGAAAATCTCAAAACACAGGCCAGATGCCATGGCTCACACCTGTAATCCTAGCACTTTGGGAGGCCGAGGCAGGTGGATCACAAGGCCAGGAGTTTGAGACCATCCTGGCCAACATGGTGAAACCCCATCTCTACTAAAAATACAAAAAGTTAGCTGGGCGTGGTGGCACACACCTATAGTCCCAGCTACTTGGGAGGCTGAGGCAGGAGAATCGTTTGAACCCAGGAGGTGGAGGTTGCAGTAAGCCAGGACTGTGCCATTGCACTTTAGCCTAGGTGACAGAGGGAGACTCCGCCAAAAAAAAAAAAAAAAACTCTCAAAACGCATTTCATATGGTAACACTGAGAACCACTTAATGAAACTTTTGTTTTGGTGTATACATATATCTACATAAACTGAGCCACAGTATAGAATGTATTTCTTACTGCAGGTTGCAGTAAGAAACTTTTTGAAAAACACTTTATGTTTTAGAACTCTTTGCAGCAGAACCTTGACCCACTGCTAAGATGATTTGGTGGCATTCCAATCAGGTACATTTCATTATCAGACTCAACAATAAGAACAACCGTCTTATTTAAGCTCAGCTCTCAAAGCATATGATTGCTCTTCAGATACTTGTCCAAAAGTAAAATGCACTGCCATTTGAAACATTAAAAGCTCACCTGAGAAAAAAATGCATACAGCACAGCTGTCCAATAGAACTTTTGGAGGTAGCAGAAATACCTGCACTGTCCAAAATAATAACCACTTGCCACATGTATTGAGTACCTGAAAGGCAGCTAGTATGAGGAATTGGTGAATTTTATTTAATTAACTTTAAATAGCCATATGTGGATAGTGGCTACCGTTTTGGATAGCCACTTTCACCTTAATACTTTCAAAATGTAGGTACATGAACAAATAAATTCTACATGTGATAAATATCCTAAATATCCCAATTGGATCATTACACATTATCTGCATATTATCAAAATATCACACATGCCCCATAAATATGTACAATTATCAACAAAAAATAGATTTTTTAAATGTAGTACATGAATTATAAAGATTATCTGAAATCATTTGGGAGCTTCTTAGAAATGCTGAATCACAGGCCTGACTGCAGACATAATGTCAGAATGACCAGCTGGTTCATGTGCACAATGAATTTGAAAAGCACTGATCTATAGGACTGGTTCTCAATGGACGTAGCACCAGTGAGCACTGCTGTATCAGTGAAAACTTATGGGACACTTTGGTTGGAACAATTACTGGCGAAGTGCTTCTGGCACTACTACAAATCTAAGAGCTGGCACCTCAAATGGCATTCAAATATCTTGCCAGATATTTATGTAATTTTAAAATAATCTATTCATAATAATTAACATTTGAACTGAACTCAATTTTCCAACATTATCTAGCACCAAGTATTTTTGTGCACCTTTAATATATTCTGAATTTTCCAGGAAAACCATATGTAAGTTGAGAAAAAGATGTAATTTTGTCCAGGTTTGTGCCCCATTTCAGAAAAACTTATTTAATAGCCTACATTTAAAACGTGTCATGTGCACATTGATACTAGGTAGAGGTTCAATTATCAGACTACTTCATTATGTAGTTATGTGGGAACTAAAATATTTTACTTAAAACGACTGCCCTCTTATTTCTCCTGTTATATTATCTCTATTATTCTCCAGTTAAGACTTTTTTTTCTTTAAAAAAAGTAGATAAGCAAATTATATACACATGAATTTCACTTCAGGATAATAGTGTGCACTGATTTTACATATGAGGTGCTGGGTCTCAACAGACTTAACCACTGATTTAAAGATTTATGCACCTATTACCATCCCTCTAGATCAGGGGGCCTTAATCTGGGAATACTATACAAGGATCCTCAGCCAAGATTTCTACTGAGTGCAACTTCAGGAGATAAATAAAGTCTTTGGTAGTATATAATTTGATATATATGTATCAAATGATAATCATCAAGGTGTAGCCATCGTGGGGTGAAGAACACATAACTTTATCAGGATGTATTAGATGAAAGACCATACATTACACCCTGAGACTGTATAAATTGGGCTGGACTATAAACTTGGGCCTCAAAATGTGGCTGATCCACCACTCAGTTACATTTACAGAATTGAATTTTGTATCATTTTATCAACCTGCATTGATGGCCTCTACAAAACAAACAAACAAACAAACAAAAACAAAACATAAGAGTTACATAGTCACTGCATTACTCACACTATAGGTGTCTCTTCATGGAGACATATGGAAGGCTAACATCCATTAAACGTTTGCTACACACTAAACAATACACTATATTCTGTACACCCTGGAATTCATTTATAAAGTCTCACAACCACCCTCTGATACAGATATTACTCCTTGTTTCACAAATGAGGAAAGTAGCTTAGAAAGTTCAATTAACGTTGACTAAGTTTATACAGCTAACAGCAGAAGTAGAATGTGAACTCAGGTTGTCTGTCTCCCAAACATGCATGTACTTTTCTGGAGAGGGTGGCTATTTTTTCTTTAATGTTACCGTAAAATATCTATTGGATCTTGTCTTCCATTGGCACAGCCTGCTAGATTTTTTTCTTTTTCTTTTCTTTTTTTTTTTTTTGAGATGGAGTTTTGCTCTTGTTGCCCAGGCTGGAGTGTAGTGGCACAACCTCGGCTCACTGCAACCTCTGCCTCCGTGGTTCAAACGATTCTCCTGCCTCAGCCTCCTGAGTAGCTGGAATTATAGGTGCACACACCACGACACCCAGCTAACTTTTTGTATTTTTAGTAGAGATGGGGTTTCATGATGTTGGCCAGGCTGGTCTTGAACTACTGATCTCAGGTGATCCACCCGCCTCGGCCTCCCAAAGTGCAGGGATTACAAGCATGAGCCATCATGCCCGGCCAGCCTACTAGATTTCTTAGGGCAGACATTGTATCCCACAAATGACAGTTGCCCAAGCATGCATCAGCATCTTTGAGTAAACTGCTTCACTTAGAGTGGTCACTGAGAACGGGCTTTATGGAATGCATTTGGCATGCTAAGCTTACTTTTGGTTTAATCTTTTTTCACATTCTCCCTTTTCTTCATTTTTAAATTTACTTCCTGCAATAAGACAATGAACAAATAAATGCACACCACATGCTGCTTTAGATAATCCAGGAAGTACTAAGATAGTGCTATGGCTTTATTGGATGATTCAGAAACCACCTAGAATTGTTTTTATAATGCAAAACACCAACTATCATTACGATAACAGTACTTAAGTTTCAGTATATTCCACTTTGAGAGAACCCTGGTTTCCTTGGTTGCTTTCTAAAGAGTAGAAAAAGAACACCTAACAGGCAAAACAACAATGAGCACATTTGAGGGCATAGGCAAAATAGGGAGATGAGCTGTCATGTCATTTAGGATAACTGAGACAGGGACAATCAGAAGACAAATAGAAACAGCAGTGGACGTGGGAACACTGCCTGCGTGGAAGGTGAGAGGAAGTAGGGCCATGCAAACCAAGCTTAGTTGACTGTGGACAAAGTCATCAATGGTGTTAGGAGTTTGTAGGAAGTACAATAAAAGGGAAATTGAAAGAGAGTAAGCTATTTGTTTTTTGCCAACACCACCATCACTACAAAACATTTAGAGAAAGGTGGTCAGCAAACTTTTTTCATAAAGAACCAGTTAGTAACTATCTCAGGCTTTGCAGCCAGATAGTCTTTGACTACTTTAAGACAACTCTGCCACTGTGACACAAAAACAGCCACTGACATATGTAAACAAATGTGTAAGACCATGTTTCAATAAAACTTTATTTATAAAATAGATGTGAGCAGTCAGAATGGCCATGATTAAAAAGTCAAAAATAACAGATGCTGGCAAGGTTGTGGAGAAAAATGAACACTTATACACTGTTGGTGGGAGTGTAAATTAGTTTAACCATTGTGGAAGACTGTGTGGCAATTCATCAAAGACCTAAAGAAATAGCATTCAACCCAGTAATCCCATTACTGGGTATATACCCAAAGGAATATAAATATACCCTATTATAAAAAGACATGCATATGTATGTTCATTGCAGCACTGTTCACAATAGCAAAAACATGGAATCAACCTAAATGCCTATTAATGATAGACTGGATACAGAAAATGTGGTATATATACACTACAGAATACTACGCAGCATAGGAAAGTACACAATCACGTCCTTTACAGGCACATGGATGGAGGTTGAGGCCATTATCCTTAGCAAACTAACACAGGAACAGAAAACCAAACACCACATTCTCACTCATAAGTAGGAGCTACATGATAAGAACACATGGACACATAGAGGGGAACAGCACACAATGAGGCCTTTCAGAGGGTGGAGGATGGGAGGAGGGAAAGGATTAAAAAAAAAAAAACTAGTACATACTAGGCTTAATACATGGGTGATGAAATAATCTGTACATGGGGTTCTGTGACACAAGTTTACCTATGTAACAAACCTGCACTTGCACCCCTGAACTTAAAAGTTTTTTAAAAAAGTGATTGGCACAAAGTGACAGAATGGATAACCCAAGGGCAGTAAAAATGGAAGATGCGAACATTTGAAGACAACCGTCATAAAGTACTACTTACAAAACAGCATGTAGAAGAGGAAAATAGTGGTTTCCTGAAAGGAGAAAAAAATGTGCTTAATAATCACTTACCATTCTGACTCAGTTACAAAATCTGTGTGTGGAGACATGCAGGACATTGCAATATTTAACCATGATAATAAACCGAAAAGGCAGAGCTAGAACACAAAGTCCCAATATTATATCTAATATGCTTAATACCTTGACATAAACGATACAAAACAAGGTTCAAGTTGGGACAAATCTTATGCCTCACATGTCCTATGGCACATCCTACACATCAAAACATGATGTCAGGCATCATGCACAAATCATTCACCCAACATTGAGTCAAATGTTGAAGTCACAAAATAAAGCAGAAAAATAATGCTCTTATAAGCAAATTAGGCCAGACTCAGTGGCTCAGCACAGTTACTCATGCCTATAATCCCAGCACTTTGGAAGGCCGAGGCTGGCAAATCACCTGAGGTCAGGAGTTCCAAGACCAGGCTGGCCAACATAGAGAAACCCCGCCTCTACTAAAAATACCAATTTAGCTGGGCATGGTGGTGGATGCCTGTAATCCCAGCTATTCGGGAGGCTGAGGCAAGAGAATCACTTGAACCCAAGAGGCAGTGGTTGTGTTGAGCTGAGATTGTGCCATTGCATTCCAACCTGGGCAACAAGAGCAAAACTCTGTTTCAAAAAAATAAAAAATAAAAAAATAAAAACAATCAAATGCCAAGGGAAACTGGTTACAACCATAAAGATGTGTTTGGGAAATGCTCTCATTTAGAAAATTGTGAAGTTAAATTTATTATAAGGCATAACAATAAAACTAGGTCCAATATCAGTGCATTTGATTCAGTTTTATCAATATTTACAGGTAAATAGGTAAAATGAAAGTAGATAATAGTTCATAGCCCATCTTTGGGAAAGAGTACAATCTAGCAAATAAATTAGGTACATAACAATGTTGGCTCATTAGAATAACATACATTAAAATCAATCTGAAAAAATATGAAGACCAAAACTGCATAACTGCATTACAGAACATAATGACAAAACAGATGATCTGTATACATGGATTAGAATGGGTTGGCATATGAAAAAAAGCTCATCATCACTGATCATGAGAAAAATGCAAATCAAAACCACAATGAAATACCACCTCACACCAGTTAGAATGGTGATCATTAAACAGTCAGGAAACAACAGATGCTGGAGAGGATGTGGAGAAATAGGAACACTTTTACACTGTTGGTGAGAGTGTAAATTAGTTCAACCATTCTGGAAGACAGTGTGGCAATTCCTCAAGAATCTAGAACCAGAAATACCATTTGACTCAGCATTACCATTACTGGGTATATACCCAAAGGACTGCAAATCATTCTGCTATAAAGACACATGCACACGTATGTTTATTGTGGCACTGTTCACAATAGCAAACACTTGGAACTAACCCAAATGCCCATCAATGATAGATTGGATAAAGAAAAATGTGGCACATATACACCATGGAATACTGCGCAGCCATAAAAAGGATGAGTTCTTCATGTCCTTTGCAGGGACATGGATGAAGCTGGAAACCATCATTCTCAGCAAACTGGCACAAGAACGGAAAACCAAACACCGCATGTTCTCACTCATAAGTGGGGATTGACAGTGAGAACACATGGACACAAGGAGAGGGACATCACACACCGCAGCCTGAAAGGCGGTGGGGAGCTAGGGGAGGGATAGCATTAGGAGAAATCCTAATGTAGATGACGGGTTGACGGGTGCAGCAAACCACCATGGCACGTATGTACCTATATAATAAACCTGCACGTTCTGCATATGTATCCCAGACTTTAGGTATATTAAAAAAAAAAGAAAGAAAAAGAATGGTTTGGGTGTTGAAGGGGTAGATGGTAAGTGCCACTTGGTATTGCTGAAGAAAATCTATCCGTCTTTTTTATGCTTAGTGTAAAAAGATACAGAAACAACTTGACGGTCAGTGAAGGCAAAAGTTCAACCAACAGGAAATACATGTGTACAATGGAACACCAGACACTAAAAATAATGCATTCTATCTACATGCACCATGACACGTAAAAATGAGAAAACAATGCTAACAGAATTTTGTGTCCAAAGAAAAAAGTTACACATATTGTACATCTGTTTTTTGTTTTTGAGACAGAATCTGGCTCTGTTGCCCAGGCTGGAAAGCAGTGGTGCAATCTCGGCTCACTGCAGCCTCTGCTACCTGGGTTGAAGCGATTCCTGTGCCTCAGCCTCCTGAGTAGCTGGAATCACAGGCGTGTATCACCATACCTAGCTAATTTTTCTAATTTTAGTAAAGATGAGGTTTCATCATGTTGGCCAGGCTTGTCTTAAACTCCTGACCTCAGGTGATCCAGCCACCTTGGCTTCTCAAAATGCTGGTATTACAGGCATAAGCCACCGTGCCCAGCCACACTGTACATCTAGCATATGTCCAAGTTTCTAGACATTTACAAGAAATTTAAGTGGCACCTTGAAAAACAACAGTGGAGGCCGGGCATGGTGGCTCATGCCTGTAATCCCGGCACTTTGGGAGGACGAAGCAGGTGGATCACAAGGTCAGGAATCCGAAACCAGCCTGGCCAACATGGAAAAACCCCATTTCTACTAAAAATACAAATTAGCTGGGCATGGTGGTGGGCGCCTGTAATTCCAGCTACTTGGGAAGCTGAGGCAGAGGTTGCAGTGAGCCAAGAGTATGCCATGTACTCCAGCCTGGGTGAAAGAGCAAGACTATCTCAAAACAAAAACAAAAACAAAAAAGGCATTTATTATGTTTGGTCAAACATTAAAGAAAACAATCACAGATCAGTATTTTGGGAAGGTGTCTGGAGAAACCTCTAAAGCCACACCAGTGCAGACACAATTGCATTTAAAATACTACAGTATGCTAAAAAATGTTAACTGAATGGTGAAAAAATTTTAAAGTACAATCACATACTCAAAAAAGAGCCACAAAATTTTACTTGGACAATCATATAGAGTTCAGTAATATAAAAGTAGAAACGGTCTCGCAAAAGCTATAATTTGCTTATGCTGGTTTGCTAGGGTCCTCCTGGAATGTTATTTGTTTATAATCAATGGAGCTGGGAGAGTATTTAGAACAAACCAGGGCTAGACGTGGCTCACGCCTGTAATCCCAACACTTTCGGAGGCGGAGGTGGGAGGATCACAAGTTCAAGAGATCCAGACCATCCTGGCCAATATGGTGAAACTGTCTCTACTAAAAACACAAAAATTAGCTGGGCGTGGCTGCACGTGCCTATAGTCCCAGCTACCTGTGAGGCTAAGGCAGAATTGCTTGAACCCCAGAGGCAGAGGTTGCAATGAGCCAAGATTGTGCTGCTGCACTCCAGCCTGGTGAAAAAGCAAGACTCTTAAAAAAAAAAAAAAAACCACCAAACTTCATTTTATATTTACCTCTAGACTACATAATCCCCAGTAATAAAATCCTAGTTCTATTTTCAATAACAAAAGCTATTTGTAGAACCTCATGGACAGATGCATGCTTTTTAAGATGGTGTGTTGCCGGCACCCAGGATGGAGTACAGTGGCTCCATCTTAGCTCACCGCAACCTCCGCCTCCTGGGTTTAAGCGATTCCCCTCTGTCTCCCAAGTAGCTGGGATTGCAGGTGCACGTCACCACGCCTGGCTAACTTTTGTATTTTTAGTAGAGACAGGGTTTCACCATGCTGGCCAGGCTGGTTTCCAACTCCTGACTTCATGTGATCAACCCGCTTCAGCCTCCTAAAGTGCTGGGATTACAGGCATGAGCCACTGTTACCCGCCAGACTCATGCATTTTAATATATGTCTGCTTTTAAAACTTCTTTGGAGCAGGGTCCCAGACCATTCTGTTCTTGCTCTATGCTCAGCACATGAAACATAGCAAATAGAGGTGCTCAATACACATGTATGTGTATACATACATATTTTTTTTCCAGAAAAGGTAGGGAAGTGAGTTCTGTGCACAACTATTGAGAAATCACAATGTATGAAATACAGAAAAAGCTGCAAGATTTAAATATGAAAATTAGTTCCCCTGAATTGGAAAAGACAGCAACATAGGCACATGTGATCACATGCCTACAATTTCACCTTTTGCGTCTACCAGTGGAACAGTCATAACACCAAACTCTAAACCATCTAAGGTAGTAGGAAGGCTACCTAATGACTACTTTGGAATTCATTAGTAAAGCAGGACACAACAGTTTAAGATGCCACAGAACAGGACTACAGTTTTGATACCAAATCCATTAACTGTATGAAGATGAAAACTGTAGGCCTAACAGACCTGTTGTTTTAGGTTAATGATGGGCAAATGAGATGCCCAGGGCTAAGGGGGAAAGCAACCTGTGAGCAGAGTTTCTCACACCATATGTGAGGGACCAGTCTTAACCCTTAAATTGCACTCTGCCTGACATACTTTATGTATATATGTGTATGTGTGCCTATGTGTGTGTGTCATATATACACACACACATTCAAACTTTTTAAATTTTGTAGAGGTAGGGTTTCACTTTGCTGCCCAGGCTGGTGTTGAACTCCTGGACTTAACCCAGTCCTGCTACCTCAGCCTCCCAAAGTTCGGGGATTACAGGTATAAGCCACTATGCCTAGCTTTTAAGATATATTATTTTATAAACATTACTAGAAAAGTGATGACATATTAATGTCACAATAATATAAAATTGCTATAGAAGTTTCCAGACACACACAATTTCTACTTTGACCTTGAGAGATATGCTGAAGTTTTGTTAATGTCAATCTGGCCCAACCCCTTGAATCTGTGTAAAAAGGATCTGACATTTATTACTTTACTACTCAATAATAAAAGACATACTGGGCCGGGTGCGGTGGCTCACGCCTGTAATCCCAGCACTTTGGGAGGCTGAGGCGGGTGGATCACGAGGTCAAGAGATCGAGACCATCCTGGCCAACATGGTGAAACCGTCTCTACTAAAAATACAAAAAATTAGCCGGGCGTGGTGGCACATGCCTGTAATCCCAGCTACTTGGGTGGCTGAGGCAGGAGAATCGCTTGAACCTGGGGGTTGGAGTTTGCGGTGAGCCAAGATTGTGCCACTGCACTCCAGCCTGGGCAACAAGAGCAAAACTCCGTCTCAAAAAAATAAATAAATTAAATTAAACAAATTAAAAAAAATAAAAGACATACTATAAGAAACAATTAGAGGTAAAAGGTGCATAGACTTGTCATTAATTTTAAAATTTAACACTTGCTTTGTTACAATGCCTAAAATTATCCTTTTGAAACTTTAGCATTTAAGAATCTCAATTATCAATTTGAACAATTTTGCCTTATTTTGCCACTTAGATTAGAATACAGAAGCTTAAAAATGTATATGAAAACATGACCATGCATTGCTTAATGGTGGGGATTATGTTTTGAGAAATGGGTCATTAGGTGATTTCATTGTGTACTTACACAAACCTGGATGGTATAACCTACTACAAATGCAGGCTTCATGGAATAGTCTTACTGCTCCTAGGCTAGAAACCTGTATAGCATGTTACCGTACTGAATGCTCCACATGGTATTTGTGTGTCTAAACATAACAAAACATAGAAAAGGTACAGTAAAAATAAAGTGTTATGTTACTGGCCCACCAGGAATATGTGGTCTGTTGCTGACCAAAACTTCCTTATATAGCATGTGACTATATTTACTTACACTACACTCCTGTGCCTTTGCCTCCAAACTTCCCCAACTAACACAGTGAATCTAGGGAAAATTTCCATCTTTTATTAGATTCATTACCAAGGGGAGTAAAACAGAGACATGTCTGTATGCCCAGCATATAACAAGCTGAGGTCATTTACTATATTAGGCTATACCCTGTGGAAGAAGTGTTAAGTAATTATTGTCTCTGAAACCCAATTTCCAGAATTCAAATCCACCGTTTACAACTTACAGGCAAAAGTTACTTAAATTCTCAGTAACAGCACCTACATCTCAAAAAATTATTGTGCAAGTTAATGTGCATGTAAAGTGACTGGAATACTGCCTGGCACATAAATTATTACTATGTGTTATAATTATTTAATTACATAATATTCATTAAATCCTTCTGTAGAATTGGGATAGTCAACATTAAATTCACTAAATAAAATGTCACATTCCTACAATAAAAGCGTCCACTAAAATCCTATTTCAATTCTCTATTATGAAAATACATCTATTTATAATATCTTGTTTAACGGAGAGAAAGAATAAGTTGGAAAATAACATATAACCTAATTTTACATTTAGAGAAGGTGCTAATAAAGTTATAAAAGTTGCTTAGTCACTGTACTATTTAAGTGGTAACTGCCCAAAGTGATTCAGAGTAATTTATCATCCATTCTTGTCCCCAGAAAAAAGGTTTAAAATAACATCATGATTCTAAAATGGTAATGACAATAATCAAATGCTACAAATTAGTTACTTCAAAAATTTAGAACTGTATACATTTAATGTATTATTCCTTCTTTCCCCCTATGAGCTGATGCTTCCTAAAACTGAACTTCATCTTAGAATTCAGGAAATACATTTCTAATAGATACACTACTTCAGTCCGACCCATTGCCAACATACCACTAACACCATCACTTTTAAGCAAGCTCTTCAAGTGCTCAGAACTATACATATCAACACAGACAGTAAGTCATCTTAACCAATTACCCAAGTTTAACCAGCAGATATTATGTACAGTATGCTGAGATTATAACAAAAACAAAAGTTTCAGTATTTCCAGAATACTGAACAAGAGATGTTTGTGGCATTGCGTACGTACTGTGATAACCTGTGGTACCCTTTAAACTATTTTAAAATTCTACAATGAAATCAGTGCTATTAAGTTTATGTTTATTTCATACATGGTTTTTGTCAAGTTTATCAGTTTTAAAATGATTAAGTCATAGTCACCATTCGAAGACAAATTTTCCTCTCAAACTAGTAATTTCCATTCTGCTACCTAGAGCTTGGCTTATCCTTTGGTCTGACAGCCATACTTCATTTCACAGGACTATACAAGTATGTACTATGTACAAAGTACTTTCAAGTTTGTTTTCAAATGATACCTACAGAGTAGATCAAGTTTTCGAGTTTACAGAATACCATACTACAACAATTTATCACTATAAATGTCTTAATACCTGTTTATTCCATTCGATTTAGATTGCAACACTAACAAAATTCTTAATGCATACATCCCACCACCTGACCTTTCCCTATACTATCATTTTGACACTTACATACAAACAACTCAATTCAGCAACCAAGTTTTACAACCACTGTTGCTACTAATCAAATGGTGATGCGTCAGATCCCAATTCTCATGAGTATTAACATATTGAGAGTACATTATTTACCTAAGACTGAAGGACTATGCCTTACTTTATAAAAAAACAAAGATAGCCACGTCAATTTAATTCCATATATATGATACTACCTATTCAATTTATTAAAAATTGTAATAAACATAATAATCAAACTAGTGCTCCAAACTTATGCTGTTCACATGGAAGACACCACAAAAGAAGACACAATATAGAGACTGCCTTGCAATAAGAAGTACAAATTCCTTCTTTAGAGATGGAGAAATAAAAGGACAAATCTAGTTGTCTAAAAGACAATTCACTGTACACATTTTATTTACAGTTTTGTACACTGTCTTAATATGAATGGGACTGCTTTTCTACTTGAGCCATTTTTAACCAAAGCAAAATAACCTAAGTAATACAAAGTGTTAAAATACAGCATAAAGATACAAAAACAGACATACTAATTCTAGTTAGGAATGTAATTATGATGTTACATTTTTTTATAATCCACAATTATGTTTAGGAAATCACACAAACATAGATCACTGATTTGAATGAAATGCATAAATTTGTAGCAAAGCTTTGTAGTTACAAAAAAACAAAAAAATTACCAAAGAATGCACAAAATTAATGTTTATTCCACCTTTGTGTCATATTCCTGGATCCTTCGCCAATGTTACATGAGGAAAAAAACAAAAGCAAAACAAATGAAAAACTGAAATCAGAATCACTAATATTATCAAGTAGGGAAACAAATAAATTAAAATCTAGCAGCCATCAGCAAGAGTACAGCAAAGACAATGCTGTAAAAAGAAACAAAGAAAATTGCTAGAAAACTATATGCATCATAATCTTTCAAACCAGCAAAATATGCTCCTGCATACAATAGAACATCAACAGAATTTTTTTCCTGTAAAGTAGAGAAATGCCAAGTTGTTTTTTGAATATTGTGGATTGGTAAAATGTGTATGTAATTAATGGTAATTCTACTGAACTATTACAGAGTGGGCCAGGAACACATTTATGGATTCTGGGGATGTGTACTGTAATTCTTTGATTGGGATAGTGGACACTCTAGCCAAAAAATATATATATATATATGAACACAGAAGTACAAGACAAAGGCAAATGAGACTTCTCTTATATCTCAGCAACATTTAGATGGAAATCAAATTTAAATGCAGTCCACTCTGCTTTTGGAAGAGGCTTTGGTTCAGCTCCCAAATCTCGATTGCTTGACGCAGTCTCCTATGAGAATACTCAGAAGGTGTCTTCTTAAACAACAAACCTATTTTTAGTGGTGGAGCCGCTCTTAGTAGCTGTGTCTGCGTGGGACTGATAACCAATCACTATCTTTGGAGGAAGTCCTAACCTTTCCTTGTATACCCTCCTAGAAGAAAAAAAAAAAGAAGTAGCCATTTTTATTCACAAGAAGTAAATAAATTTAAAAATTTAGTGTTATTAGTCTTTATATTACAAAATACAGACTTGAGAGTACAAGAGGAAATTATACAGCCTTTTCCTTTTAGCACAATTTACTTTTCCATTTTTGCAATATTCTCGGTTATTTATTTATTTATGGATTTTTGCTCTTGTTACCCAGACTGGAGTGCAATGGCAGGGATCTCAGCTCACTACAACCTCCACCTCCCAGGTTCAAGTGATTCTCCTGCCTCAGCCTCCCGAGTATCTGGAATTACAGGCACCCGCCACCACACCCGGCTAATATTTTGCATTTTTAGTAGAGTCGGGGTTTCACTATGCTGACCAAGCTGGTCTCAAACTCCTGACCTCAGGCTATACACCCACCTTGGCCTCCCAAAGTGCTGAGATTACAGGTGTAAGCCACTGCGCCCAGCCATTAATTACTTCTAAAATATTTGAGAGCCAATCAGGTATGTTGTTACTAAATTATAGTAGCATTACTATATGATTATACTGTTATTTATTCTGGTACTATGATAATTATTACTAAATCAATAGTGAACAAAGCCAGGACAGTCCCTGGGCTCACTGCATTTACAGTCTAATTAAAAAAAACACAAATAATCACAAATATCTATGACGGACCTGTCTCACATGCATACTTAAACAGCAATCTGTAACACAAACATGTTTATTTTCATTCTTTGATCTAAAATGTTACATTTCACATCTGAACCCTAGCACATATTGTATATTACTACACAAATTCCATTAACCATACCTGTTACAAGACTGCACAAACAAAAACTAAACACTTAGAGAGAGATTAATTTAAGAGCATACATAATTTCTAACTTACTAACTTTACAATCTAATTTTCAAATAAGACGTGACTCAAGCACACGTTTCGAAGAACAAAATGGCACTTGTCACGAGTGCCAAAGAGTAAATATAGGGGCTGTGATACTGTATAACAAGGAGATTCTAATCTCATCTACAAAATTAGTGAAGTCTCCCCTTTAAATATCACGAGATCAAAAGGATAATGTTAAGAGAATCAGCACATCTGAAAGCTGAGAAATAAAAATTAGACTGTGTGGCTATAGCTTATAAGTAAAGTGAATATGAGATAAGGCTGACAAGTTTTCAGAGGAAGAGAGCTTCATAGGTCACCTTAAAAATTTGAATCTTTAAGAAAAAAATAAGGCCGACACGGTTGCTCATACCTATAATCCCAGCACTTTAGAAGGCCGAGGCATGGGGATCACAAGGTCAGGAGATCGACATGGTGAAACCCCAACTCTACTTAAAA